ATTCGAGGGCAATTCGAAAAAACAAGTGTATACTGCATAGAAATCAGAATTGGATTACATAATGTAACGTTCGCACATTTCAAAATGTGATTGACAAAGTGCTTATTATGTCTATTTATCGAAAGTCTTTGCGAGCGTGGTATAAACAACCATGAAGATGATAGTTCATCATGAATTATCTCTCTTTCACAGGAATGTTATTGGTGTAATTATTGGTATTTTCTAAATCTGCTTGTTACCTTTTATGTTTATGGCTGAGATTGTAATGTTTGTTAGAAGTGTTTATTGTAGCTGCTAAGTATAAGTTACACGATTTTTTTAATGAGACATGTTTATAAAGACAGGCAGGAGCTCTCTAATATCATGGGGAAAAGAACTTACTGGGAGAACCTGTCAAGTCAGTGTGATGGTATAAACCCGAACTTGTAACATCTTTCATGTAGTTTAGATATAATATAGTTGAGATATAATACTGCAGTTGAAAATTGATATTATTTTGAAGCTTATTTTGTTTAATGGTATGACCCGTTGCAACCTGGCAAATATACTAATAATCGTAGTCGTCGATGTAATAAGGTGACTAGAAGTCATTATGAATCTGAGCCGAATTTTAATGATTCACCTCAGTATTGGAATGTCATCTTGGTAAGGCCAATACGACTAAATGGCGAACTTTGGTCGGTAATTTGCGAATCAAATGTTTAAACTGGGTTATCTAGTTCATATACATTGATCAGAGCTACCACAATCGAATCTAACATAGATTGTTTACTTATGCTTAGCAACGAATTAGTTACTGTAATTGACATCCAAATAAATATCCAAATAAAAGATAGAATCAGACATTAGGAAGGTCATGAAATTAGGTAAAAGGTGCATGAATTATGGTACACTCGACATGACACGAGTTTAATATTATTTGTATATAATTTTGTAATAAAACAGACACAGAACATTCCGTACGAGTGATTTACAAATAGAAATACAAACGCTATCATAATCGTTTCCATTTCGTTGGAATATGAATTGAAACACCAATGTTTTTTAAATGTTGTGAACTGAAATACCATCTTTAAATGAAGACTTAAAAATGAGCTTTGACACTAATTTTTGTAAGCAAAATGTTATCATACAAGAAAAATATTTCCAGACATGAATTAAAGATAAAGTTGAGTTCTGGTCCTGCGATTGCATTGTATAAGAAAAGGTGTGGAAAGAATAAAAAAAAGTTGATCATGTAGCATGTAAGTATTGGCGTGTACTGCAAGGTTCTGGAGTCGTCAACATCATATTAAATTTGGCCCAGTCTTGGTAAAGTAATAGGCACTGTACACAGAAAGATGTAAATGGGACTACACATGGTGTCGGGCCCCGATTTACCTCGATTTCCTTATCTGTCTTTGGCTCTTTGCGCATTACTCAGCCAGTATACATTTCCTACCAAAATTGTTTGGCAAATGACATTTATTTGTAATCTTGAACATTCAGTGTAAGTTTCGTTTGATTCCGTGAGAATTTTTGTCTTCTTCTTTTTACCAGAACCTCAAGTCTATCTTTAAACAATGATTTGGATAAGTGGCGGAATATGGGAGAAGGAAGGGGGCACAACCGACTCCTGCTCTTCCTTTAAAACAAAAACCCGACATACCTACAGTATACACAAAGAAAATTGGCCTCTTTTAAATTTGACAAGTAGACAACAGTGTAAAGATGTGAAAATTGTTGTTTGTTTTTCTGGCTGAGAATTTTCTTCGTTACTGATTTCGTCATCGCCAGCAGAGCAGCCAGACGAACCTCATCAAGGGTTTTAAACAGGTTTTTGTTTCTCTTCCGAGAAAATGTTTAATGAGTGTATATTCTCTTTTTGGCAACAGATCATATGTTAAAATTGAAAAGGGCGTTAAATCAAATAATTTAACACAGTTTACGCTCTTCTGGCTCTCAACACTAAGCAGACGCAATTTATTTTAGTTTTCATGAAGAGCTCTTTCCTTGGTTACTGATCACATGTTAAAAGCCGGAAGGGTGCTAACTCAATTACTATACAATTAGCATAAAGTAGACGTCATTTAGTTTCAATTTCCTGAGATTGTTTATTTGTATACTCTCTTCTTGGCAACTGACCATACGTTTAAGAGTAAGAAGTGTGTTAAATACTAATACTACAGTCACATTTACGAGACCGACACCAGATCGACAATGTTCAGATCGACCGAAAATGAAGACATGACATTTGCTCCTGAGACAAAGCGCTATGGGCTTTATTTCATTTTATTTCAAGTTACAGTGTAGGGTTGCAGCAAGGTTTTAGGATTATAATTAGGGTTAGGTTTTGAGTCCAGGGTTGAAGTCGAGAATTCGGTTAGTTTGTATAGGAAATCGACGTTGAGCAATATTGTCCCAGAAGCAAGAGTCGTACAACATAATTTTAATTACCCATAAATGGCCCCAAATCGGTGTGTCTGGAGAAGGTTTTGCGGAAGGACTGAGGCATTAACGCCCTTATCTGGCTCTCAACGCAAGAAGACAGCATGTAAAGCCAAGACATTGTCTACAGGGAGAATATTGTTGATTCAATCACATAAAGAAATCGTGCAAGGTCGACATGAGCTCCATGCCTGGAAGTAATTAATTGATCAATTAACAACGGCTTCCTTCCATAGAAGCAGAAGATGTCAGGTCTTAAAGGTACTATGTCCCTTTTGCGGCCAACCTCAAATGCTGTATAACTTTGCAGGAATTTTGAATATGACATGTATGTCCTATCTGTGAAATTTAAACGTAAGCAGTGTCCTCATGTTCAAATTATGCAGGGAAACCCGTTTACTTGCTAGACTTCACTGTCAGACACTATTGAGTGACTGACTGGCTTTTTTTCTTCTTTGGTAATAACATACATGAAAAGAGTTGTAAAGAGTACATGAGCATTTGTCTACATCAATAACCTACTTCCTGTGATGGCCAAGATTAAACTGATTGAATCTTTGCGCAGCATAAAACGTATGACCATTCGGTAAAATTGTCTGAAAATCAAGACTATTACTTTTGGGCTCTATAGCCCTAAAGTCGATTTGACAACTAATAGTCGTTATTTTCCCACTTGAAGACATTTTCAAGCCCCATCTTTTTTAGGGAAGTTCTAAATTAGTATTATCTTTCAAATGCAGTTGGAATTTAACTTTTTCATTTTTTGGGCCTGCAAATGGGACAAAGTACCTTTAAAGAGAAGGCTACGCCCAGATGACGTAAAAGAATAATCATTTGTGAACTTTCTCGTCCTTATCATATCAATCGGAATAATATCATGGTAGAAAAGTTTCCTGCTCGTAATTACTCTTCAGACGATGACATCTGCAACATATGACAAGAAATAAAAACTGGACCAAACATTCATGTCACATTTTGTGTAGTCCCCCATGCACATGAGTGTGTGCAGAGCAAGTGAATTCTGGCAAGACTGAGTCAATTCCTTATATATTTTGATGATCAAAAAGATCAAAGGCTACAGAGACCTTGTCCTTGAGAGAGTATATGTATATATCATGGACATAGAAGATAACCTGGGTAGCGTCTCACGAAACCGTCATAAGAACAAGTTCACTGACATCCCATTTAAATGCGTGTATCAAGTTTAACACGCCTTTCAATTGGATATCGGTGAACTTGTAATTATGACGGTTTCATGAAACGCTTCCCAAATGAAGAAGTGTTCGGAAAAGCGAAAGAAAAACATCACTCATCAACACGAATTCGGATGGTTACAGACGTATCTGATTAATATACACCTGTGGAAACCTAATGACACACGGTCAGACGGTTCAGTCACATAGAAATGTAACTTTAATTTCGTCATCGTCGTTGACCCGTCACTTCACAGACAAGACAGAGTATTCATGTCATTGAAACCTATTCGCAAATGCATTCAAGATATTTTCAAGATTCAAAATATCTCAATTAACCATAACCATAAAAAATATATAAACAATAATACAAAATACAGTATGGAATGGAAAGTACTTGTGGAAAAGCAAATGCGTGTGAGGCTGGCCCTTTGAGAGAAACAAAACTTAATCATTGCATATATTTCTTGTATTAGGGCTACTCTATTCAAGACCTTATCATGTAATAAAATGGCTGATAGATACAAAGATATTTTTTAAATGGTAAGAAGACCTACATGCCTCACTGACAGTATAGTTTACATTGATGCATCTTTTCTCGCATTTATCTAAGGGAGGGGGACAAACACACTACCATTAAACACCTCACTCGTCTTAATTCTATTTTGCCCAGCTAGCGTTATGAATTTCCTTTCTTTCTTTTAAAATTTTCAGTATTTCAATCTGAAGACAAATTGAATCCGTTCAATATATATCTTCGTTTCAACCTAGAGAAATTCCATTAAAAAATAAACATTGTAAGTCGTGATTACCTTTTCTCCATATTCAAAATTTATTTTTATTTCAGGATGTGATTCAATAAGTCACAGGCTATACGGAATTGCAGGATTCTACTCATAGATTATTATTTTGTTATTAAGTCAATTGACGGTATGTTTATACGATTTTGTAATTAACTCATATGCAGGATGATAATTATAGTTCTTGTTCGACTAATCAGAAAAGCTCCTATATAATTTAAAGCAAGTTTGATTATGCATTACATCGACAATTAAGTCAGTTTTAGTTCGTATACATGTACCTACTGCACCTGTTATAGTTTTGAGTGTGCAGGTCCTACTTAATTGATTCTAACATATTTCTAAAAGATCGTATTATCTTTAGTTTGTATTATAAATGAGTAATCAGGAAAAAATAAATTAAACATTTCTACATATCCTTTTGTTTTCTTGTTTAGAATTTATATTCAACTTTAATTTTCTAAAAATGTTACATTAACATCACCGTGTAACGGATTTTATGATGAGATGTGTCAAAGACCGATAAGAAGAAAAAGAAACAATTGTGTGACATTATATTGAGTCAACATTTTCTACTCACTCGATTTCGTTGTCGGGAGCAGGGAGGTCGCCGATGGTGGTCAGAGTCAATGTCGACCAGTAAAAGGAAGCAAGGTATTTATGAGGCAAGGTGGCATTTCTTCCAACAGGTCCTGCGTACACCCAATCGTCCGTTTCCGAAGTATAACCAATGGCTTCGCAAATGAGAAAATAGGCTGCTCCAGCCCAGTGGAGAAGCAAAAGAAGTACATGGGTGAGGTTGATGACGCGGAATGTATTTGGGAACTGAGTCCTCGTCTCCACTTTCATGTACCAGAACTGAAACCTGTAAACCCGAAGGAACCTTGGACATCTCACGATTGAGTGCAGGCGGTTGGTATCAAGGAGGTAGAAGAGATCGGTGGGGAGGAGGGAGAGGAAATCGACTATGCACTGCCATGATCTTAGGTAATGTCTGAAGAGTTTCTTGCCGTCTAGGACAAGGAGACCCTGCTCCAAGTATGCGGTTCGGGACTGGACCACGATGTCCAGAATGTAGATGAAATCACAGAAGTAGTCAATGACGAACCACGTGATGCGGCCTTTCTCTTGGAGCTCAGGCCAGGCTTCCCGGGCGATCAACACCCAAAGGTTATACATGACCACGATGCTGACCACCGTCAACCAATACATTAGGAAATCGCCATCCGGGTCAACGATGGTTTTCGTTTTCTCTTCCTCGTCATCATCCTCGTCTTCAACAACCTCGGATTTGGCGTTCTCGTCCTCGGGATAATTGGACAGATCAGCTCGCCTCGTGGTGAATTTCTCCAAGAAAGAATCAACGCGTTGTGCAGACACCTTTTTATTTCTTCGCTTGTTTTTCTCTCTTAACTTGACTGATGATTTTAAAATATTCACGGCCTTGATGGAAGTCCAGAAACCTCCGGCTGACGTCGGAACGGTAGACATATCTGATGCCGAAGCGAATTCATCAAGTTGAACGGCCTCTTTAGATTCTCTCCTCTGGATGCCCGGCATGGGAACGAAGTTGGAATCATCTATCAAGTCAAGATAGTTTGTCGACTCTCTTCTGCTCATCTCTTCTCTTGATAGTATATCCTCCCCGTCGTGTTGGGATGAAGCCGTGATCGGCTTAACACTTCCATTTGAATTATCTGGCACTTTAATCTTTGGTTTCAGATGTGCATCTTTATACTCGTTTCCAGTCGTTGCCTCATTCGGCAAAATGTGTTCGGGATTTCTTCCCTCATTCGACTGGAAGTCCGTTCTTGTCTTTTTCTTGTCACCACGGTCGTCGTGCACCATTTCGTTGACTGGGTCCTTTGAGGAGCTTCGACCTACCTCGGTGAGAAGTTGAGTCCGATCTGACGGCGACTCACTCCACGCTTGCCGCTCACTGCTCTCCCGGCTGACGACCCGCGTCGCGTTCGGTGGCAACACGTCCCACGGTTGACTCATCACGGGTTCCACTGACATGTTAGCCAGCCTTGCCTTCACATCAAACCATGGAGTATAACAAACAATGGCTAGGTGCCAAAGGACGAAGACTACATCCCTGTCGAGTCATTCTCGAAAAGGTTATTACAGATATTTGTAGCACATTTGCGTAGAATTCCATTAAAGGTTTTCTCATTTAAGCCTTTCCGACCATGACAATGATGAGTCTTTATACACAAGGACCAACGCGTGAGGATAGTCAATTCGGAATCATTCCATAATCGAGAAAGCATATAAAATCACTCCACCATAAAATTAAAAATAAATTGAAGACTGTTGAAATTCTGGTAAATTGAAGCGTAACCAAAAAAAACCCTGCTATATCTCATCTCTAGTCAGTCGTTGCCTTCTCGACACACATCACACTTCAGAACACGACCCATTCATAAGCTAGTTACCCAAATGCCTTGTTTGGCCAAAGATCAGTAACTCTTTGGTTCGGCCAGTCAGCGCAGGGGACAAATCCCTTATACGAGGACCCTCATGAGGAACGAACAAACGGGAAAAGGGGACTCTGCAGATTAAACAAAACAAAAGGCAGTATCTGAAGAAGACCCTTCCCCCGTTTGATAAATCGAAGCGTCCTCTAATACTTCGAGCACACAAACAAAACGCAAACAATCGAAAATAAGACAGTGACTGAAATAACGGGAGCGCCTGCCGGGAAAGAAACTCTGTTATTTAAAGGAACTTCGTAACTTCTCGAATAACATGTTGGAAAGAGAGCCCAAATAGAGGCGGCGCCAAAATGACATGGGTGACGATAAAATAGAGTAGAGTACCTTTAAAACATGCATTAATCATTTGTTCATTATCACATCTATAGGATTTCACGTTCATTGGTAAGATGGCCTACTAGAGTTTTTTGTTGAAAATGAAATTTATATCCCTTTTCCATCCTGAACATCAATATTTTTTTTTTTATCATTTCAGGGATGTTTTACTTTTATTCTTTTAGCTTAATTAATGAATATTTCAACTACGTGAAAATGATAGACAGTATATCTTTAATTTCTTGTAAGCTCGCACTGCATTCCCTTTTTTGTTGAAATGGGCATCTCTACCATCTTATCTTCCACCCTTACCACCACCGATCATTCATGCCCATCAACGTCTATCTTCTTCTTCTCTTTTCAGTCTTTTGGGACAACCGAAATAAAAGTTCTCTAGTAGATTATTGATTTGGCTCAGTTCTTAAGAATGCACGAGATGCGTTCTCTTTTTCATTGAGGTAAGAGCTTCAGCATTTTAAAGCTGTTCAGACGAAGATATAATGACAATGAATTTTGTTGCACAGTTGGGACACTCTTGTTTGAAACGCTTAAACTGTACCAATCACCTGAGAAATAACTTGTGTGTAGCTAGAATAAATAAAAATATCCTTCAAAAAATAATAAAAAGCGGACTTTGGTTAATCATATATGCGAGTACGTATGCGTGTGTCTCCTCGACAAGACGTACTTTTACTGTTACTAAGATTGTATTTAGATTGCAATATCTCTTTTTAGAAGTAATATTTGAAGCTCTTATTTTGAATACATTTTCATTGAACCTCTTACATCAAGAGCAAACATATTTTGGTGATCGGTATAATGTACATTATGTAATATATCTGTATTTGCAACTGTGTGAATGTAGGCCAGGCTAAAGCCGGGGTTTAAATCCAAGGACGATGGAACGCCATTAATTTCAAGCTTAATTGCTTAGACTTTAGGGAGAACATTATTGATATAGATGAGACTACTGTGGGTAAATAGGAACATGTTATTACCATTAGGCCTATTATTTATCTTTTTCCGAATATTCCTCAGTTAACCCTTTAAACTATTGTTATTATTGTGCATGGAATATGATTAAAAGCAATAAATAAAACATTGATTGTTCCTTTTTTTAAAATGAATATTGCCTTAGATCAAATCACATATATAATTATGGATCATTAATTATAAGTATACAAGAGTATACTGAATGCAGAATGGCCGATAAAAAAATTAAAAAAAAGAGTTCACATCACCGGTTTGTATGTTAATTTTGTATCATTTTTTTAAATTAAGGATTAATTTTGCAAATAATTGCAGAAAAAATATAGTTTCCTGAGTTTTATTATCTGACTACTGCTGTTCAATTTTATGAAGAAAATAGATCTGAGTTAATTGTTTTGATTCCTCTTGTGCATGATTAACGTTATCTTGAAACGTTTTTTATTATTATTATTATTATTATTACACAGATGTTCTTCTATTAGATTAAAGATGTTTCGGGATGGTTTGGGGAACATAAAACAAAATCCACTGTAGAATCTTGGTTAAAAATATAGGAAATTATTGTGAGCATTCCGGTCTGTATATTCATGATGAAATTAAATGAAGGGCGATATATTTCAGCTGTCTAAACACACTGTACGTGCCCAATAAGTGTGAAGCGCTCTCTGGTCTATAAATCTATATCGCTTCGAGTGGCGTACACAATAGGGTTTACACCAGCCCAGTTTTAAAGGAAGATTAAAAGAAAGACGCAAACATTATTTTCCAGCGGCTATGACACATGTAAACAAACTATCTGAATGTATGTCGCTCTGTCGTTTCAGAGGAAGATGCAGAATTCTTTAGCGGGAGGGTGTTGGCCGGGGGGGGGGGGGCAAAGGTCAGAAAAACGGTTATCATGTTTGGCTAAAACAAAAATCTGACGAGCTAGCAGACAAAACATAAAAGCCTTATTCCTCCTCCTCCTCCTCTCTTTGCCTCGATTTTGCATACCCCTGTGGCCCTTATAAATCCATCACTGCGTGCATTACCAAATATATAGGCCTATATCTGTAGTGAAATTACCTGTTTTTCTATGTCTACAATAATATTGCCATATCATTTGTATTCCAATTGGCTGCTAATTGCTAAAGAAACCCGAAACCATAGTTACTGTAATAAAAGTATTCAGGAGATTGTACATTTTCACGTTGGACCTGTTGGCCGCGCCAAAATTTCTTCGTTATGTTCATATCTATATCTCTTTTTCTCCAAAACTTGCAGCAAAACTGTACGATTACTTAGAATCGCGTTTTTATTCAGCAACAAGAAGAAATCCCAGAAGAAAGCTCCAATCTTACTGTTACTGAGGTAGCAAAGGATTATTGGAATGACAATAAGATTAATCTTTAATGGTAATTTTTTACTCATCCAAGCTCAATTGCCAAGACTGTAAGAAAATAAGGAACATTGTTTCTCTGCCCCTAACCGTTTAAATCGATGGTTTCAAGAGCAAGTCTTTTACGACTATTGATCTAGAAAGACCTCTTGTTTCGTTTTAAAAAGCAGCTAATAGATCGATCTTTCGATTTGAGTCGCTAAAGAGCTTGAACAAAGCTCACAGCCCACCTGTAGTGCAAGGACAAAAAGAGGGGCGTATTTTTCGACGTAACTAAATGTGCAAGAATATAACGGGTCGGGATTAAAATATATGCACCTGCATGGCACGAAGCTTGTGACAGCAAAATGACCCCAGGTTACATCTCGATCATGATGTGTATCTATCATTGCCTGTTAAGTTTTCAGTATTACCTATCACTTGTTTTGATCTTTAATATCTCATTACCAGTGTCAGTATTCAGTTTAAGTTATTACTTATTTTGCTATTTCAAGCTTCGTGCCACGCAGGTGCATTAATCCCGACCCGTTAAAATAATTTTTGCTTGAAACAATTTAATGATAATGATAATAATGTCAATAACAATAATAACAACAACAACTACAGGAACAGTAACAATATAGTCATAGTAAAAGTCACAGTAATAGTAATAGTAATAGTAACACATGTAGTAATAGTAATAGCAGTAGAAATAGTACTAATACTATATAGTACTTTTACTTGTAATAGTAATAGGGATAGTAATAGTGATAGTAACAGTAATAGTAATAGTAATAACGATAGCGATAGTACTAGTACTAAATCTAGTACTGGCATTAGTAGTAGTAACAATAAGGCCAAAAAAAGAAAGAATTTGTATTGCCCTTTAGGTGCCAAAACATGGGTCGGTCGGTCGGAAATCTTTCTTTAAACAAAACAAACTTTTTAACAACTTTTTTTACTCCCTCTTTGGGCTGATATTTTTTAGTTTTGAATGCTTTGATACATTTTTTCTCTCTAAAAAACAGTTTAAAAAAAATAAAATAAAAAAAGCAGACCGTAGATTTCAAGATTTTGGGGTCGGTCGCAAAGGGCAATACAACATTTTTTTTGTTAGGCCTAATGATGATAGTGATATTACAGAATTAGATGGAGTTGTATTCAATTCAATTCAATAATAGGAGTCCTTGTGAAGATGATGAACAATGATTTGTGCGTGACCATTCGGGTGTTTACCCAATAACAGGTGTTGTCATACTTGTCAATCACCGTAGATTAGAACTCAGTTGTATGACCAACAGGTCTTATGTAATGCTCTGCATTTTCCACCCTTTCCTATGTTCTACAATATATTGCATCCAGACATTTTTAGTTTCTTCACGATCATGTTGCTAACCTCAACTCAATCTTTAATTCAAGACGCGTGCCCATTACATCACAGTAATCCCGGGTCAATTTTTTGTTCTAAAGCCGATTAAGAGATAGAAAGCTTAATTGGTAATCTCCTTTTCACTGTAGACCGTTATAACTATATTCTGCTGTCACCTAGTAACTGGTCCCACGGGAAAAACAGACAGCGATAGACAGAGGGGAGGGGCGGGGGGGGGGGGGGGGTGCTGTGATCAAAACATTATATAAAAGATACCTGTACGACATCAAAGCATAATGTCGGTCTAGGCGTTTTTATTTTACGTCGATTTCTGTTTCTTCCTCACCTTTACACATTTGGGAAAAGAAATCAAGGACAAATTAGGCTGGGAAGTATCACGTTTTGTGCAATATGTGTCCAGCTCTTAATAGCAAACAGTTTTAGAGGTATACTATATATATATATATATATATATATATATTGTTTGTTATGACGAAATATAAACGCAAAAATATACAAAAACATTGGAAGGAAATCAATCGCTTAACTGTCAACAGGCCTGAGTTGTGTCACGTTTTGTATGCTTTGAGCATATATAATATATATTTTCAAGCATATTTCATAGATGGTCCACCGTTAGTAAGAACTTGTTCTGAAGACATAGAAACAAAGCGATTGTATCCATGCAACGGAGTGAATACATACAGCAAACATTTATCACATTCTGTGATTGTTCTCTCGTGTACAGTTAGCAGATAGCATAACCAGTTTTATAAGATGATGAAGCGGATCCTATCAAATGATTGGTTGAGAGCGTACACGTGACCAGGCATTTATTTTGCCTACAAGTTTGCTAATGACCGGTCATTAGCAAATATCAATGACCGGTCATTAGTACAATCATGTTATAAAGCATCATTTCATAAAAGAAATAAAACATCATCTTATAAAACAAATGATACACATAATTTTTGATGGGCATTAGTAAAACCCACACTCGGTACCTTCAAAACAGTCCAATCACTCTCGGCTATCGCCTCGGGCGTGTTGGACTGTTCCAAAGGTACCTTGCGTGGGTAATTCTTACTAATGTCCTCACTGATGTGTATCATTAATTTTGTATATTGGTATTAAATCTCTGCCATGGTCTCATTCACACAGTGGCCTTCTTACTTATTCTTAAATAGCCAAAGACATCTCACATTCTTTACACAGGGAATGCCTAAAAGGTTTACCATCATGCTATAAAAACGACACCAACCTTCCCATCCAACTGCAATCTCGTACTAATCAAACATTATACATTTGTTCTAATCAAACAATAGAACAATGTCTAGCATTGCTCCGCGGGAGGGGAAGCTATCGTGTACTTTTCCCAC